CATTATTTCCTGAAATTTAAGTTTTTTATTATAAAGGTTCATTATTTCCTGAAATTTAAATTTATTATAAATTTATTACAAAATTTATCGGTGGTGTTCCGAGCATGTCGATTCAATCAAGAATCGATACCTGTTAAAAAGGTGTGCTCTGGTAAATCGTTGATTCCTCGATAATCTAGAGTTTGCACGAATAATGCATGTTCGCGAATTGGACTACTGCTTCTGAATGGATAAATGGAACGTTCGGTGTCCTAAAAAATTTCTCATTACCTGAAGTGAATTAGCTTAAATTGAAGAGAGTTTTATTATTTGGAAGTTGGGAAAAAATTTTCTGGCATATTTCTTGAGCCGGATTTATCAAAAAATACTAGGATTATCAGTATAATTGAATTATTTAGACTGGTTGGTTATTTGTTTAAATCATTTTTTTGGGGTTTTTTTCGTGGTTTATCTTTTTTTTTCTGTTTTTCGTAGGTATTATCATGTAGGAATTTTGATTTTGTTGTTTTTGGGGTTTATATTTTTTTTGTAGTATATTTATTATTTTTAATCTTCTATCAAAAGATTGATCATTATTGAAAGAATAATCATTGGGATGCTTCTAAACGCTGAGCACAGACAGCTTTTCCTGCTTTCGGCATTGAATTATCGCTACCTTAGAAGTTTGTGAGTTAGACTATTGTCCTCTGTATGTGTGTGTGTGTGTATGAGTATCTACACATAGATACCCAATTATAGGTACATATTTATAATTATGTAAAGAAACAAAGGTTACACAACGTAAAAGGAAAAAAGGAATAAAAAAAGTGGCGAGGCTTTGGGAGCTGAAGCTCCCAGAATAGGACTGAGTGGCGAAAACAGCGATTCTAGATGCCGGAGATGGGGAAGAGTGCTTTTATATCGCGGCAGTTAGCAATCACAAAGATTGCAAAACTCTAGCGCGGGTAAAGTGTCCAAAGATTGAACCGAAGACCAGGGGTGCTGAATCATAATGATGCAATTGCTTCTCAGGCGATTTTTGAGAAAAAAACAATAAACCATTATGTGACAGAAATAGACAATAAATTACGCTGCGACAGGTTCTGGGGTGGAAGTAATGATCATCTTGAACGCTCACACGGAGTTACACGGATACGGCAAAGAACGCTCTTCGTTCATCTCATTACAAAAAAAAATATTAACAAAATTGTATTAACAAAAAATATTAAAAAATATTAACAAAAAAAAAAATAGGAACAAAATTGTACCAGAGTAATCAGTCGTCTTAAACGAGGGCTCTCGTCCGAGTACTTGTACGGCCAGCCAAGTCTTGTGGTTAATAATGAGAGAAAAAATAGACAATAAAGCAGGGAGCCACATTTCATCGGATAATCCATTCGACGGCTCACGTAGAACAGATTACTCTGCAAAACGTATAAGTTAAAATAAAAAAATAATCGGTCAGCAT